AAAGTACACATTCTTCTGAAAGCATCTCAACTACAAAATACCGTTGCTGCCTCCTGTAGACTCATGCTCACTATCAGTTTGTAGTGGCAACACCACGGCAGGTTAGGTCGAGTGGTAAAGGGCAATGAAAAAGAGGTGCTAAACATCCTATGTTGCTACACAACATCCATCACTAAATCAAAAGACAAGCTCCTCGTCTCACTTCAGTGCACGAAGTTCATCTCCAGACTAGTCTCAGAAGAGACCCAGAGCCTGCCAAAGATGCATATTAAGAATGTGACACAAGATGTCATCACTAAAACCGAGCACTTTTAAGAGAGGACCATGACTGCTAGGAACACGGTCTATGCCTGAAACACTAGGGCTGTAATCCATATTCTTTCTGCAACTCAGGCTTCTTTTCCCCTTGCTTTCTACCCTAAATAGGGGAAAAGATGCTTGGCTCTCAATCATTTCACTCCTGTGCTAAAAAACGGAGATATTACAAAGGAAGATGCTGCAGCTCCACAGTACTTAAACAGAATAAGCTGGCACCGCTAGTTTAAAGAAACAGTCCAATCTCTCCTATCCTTTGTTTCCTCACATTCCAGATGATCTTCTCCCTTATACCAGCACAAGTATTTCTGCAGCCACATAATGAATCAGATCAGAAAATGTATGGACCACCTGGAGTAGTCTAAATACAAATTATTTTTCCAATATGGTTCATGACACAGCCCCACAAACTTTTGGGCCAAGACAGTGAAGCTGCGGTAGCAGCCAGACAGGTCTGCTTCTTTTGGTAGCCCCTGCAATTTCAAAGCTTCCCTAAATGGGCAAAGCCATCAGCAACAACTTGAAAGTTAAGCTTTTTCACAGTGCTTGCAAGCACCTTTAAAAAAAAAAAAAAACAAACACAAAACACACACACAGCCGCCCCAAACCCAAACAACAAAACCTTAACACAGAAACCTAGACATTTGAAAAAAACCCGATACTCCACTACCTGTCAGATACTGAGTCACATTCATTATTACCAAAGAGAAATTCAAGATAAGTTTTTTAACAACTTAACAGCAGGATCTTTGGGCGTCTTAAATCAGTCTCAGCCAGAGCAAGTGTAACCATCAAGCAAAAAACAAGATACACAACAGAATCTGGCTCATGCCACTGCAAACAACACAATAATGAGGAATGTCACTTAACATTTGCTATGTTTCAAATTTTAAAAATGGAAAACTGTTTTTCAATGACTTAAAATTATTTTTAAGATTCTTTACCACACCACTGATGTTAAAGCTTTCTCAGAGTACACAAACATATCAGTTAAGCCATTTTAAAAGTTCTACAGCACATGGAAGTTTCTGAAGACATTTTAGGACAGTTATCCCCACTTACACTAGCAAAACACTGCTTCCTCTTAGCTTCATTATTTTAGCTATCCTTCAGTTATAGTTATTTAGTACTCTACACTTCTCTTGCATTACTTGAAGCATTACTTGAAAGCTGTCACAAAGATTTAAGTCAAAATCTTGTTAAAGTAATTCACAAGCCGTTGCCAAAACACATTTTCATTCAGAGATTCAGGATTCAAAAGAAATTAAGATTCTACAACCAGGCCAAAACAAAAGGGGATAGGATAGTCTCAAGAAATCCCACAGAATTTGTAATATTGCCTCATAACACACTGAATTAAAGAACATCAGTCTTATTGAGACAGTAAAGAAAAACATCAGTATTCAACGCTTGTACATCTGTCATGCTTTCTTATCCATTATTTACCTCTCCCCCTCCCTCCCCCCTTTTTTTAAATGCCCACAAATTTAACAGCAGCACATCACAAATAAGAACAGAAAGCATTTCATTAGTGACTGTAAACCCATGCCACTCAGATCCATCAATGACTACAAATACTCACAAATACTGAAATACCACAGAAAATTTGCCCTAACTATCTTGGAATGTATTAAGAGCTGGGATGCATATTTCCCCCATATTTTATATTGTTGCTATATAATATTAATCTTTATAATACCTGCACAGCCACAAACACAAAACAGACTCACGTAAGAATTACAGCATGAAAAGTCACCTGGAACAGTAAAACAAAAAAGCTTTTTTTCCTAATTCATTAATTTCTTTATAGAAAACAATATAAAATATTTGCAAATTAAGACAAAAACCAGCATCTTAATAACAGCAAGATCAGCCCTGCAAAACTATCATATGATTGGTAGCTGTTCTTTTATGTAATACTATTGGCAAACAAAAGCATGTTTCTCCTCCAACTAAAAACCACAGAAATCAAAGTGACTATTCCTAAAAATTTTGTCAATACACGAAAAAGAATTAGCATGCTTTTGGATACACGTTGTTTTGGATAGCCATTCTTGATTTTTTTGTTTGTGTTGAGTTTCCATATGCCCTTACACTGTGGCTTCTATGAGCATGCTACTGCAGAAAAAAGGCTATCTTCCCTCCCTCACCTGTTTCAAGACTGATATTCATACAGGGGCTCGGTGAGCTGGAGCAGTGAACTAATCCAAGAAGAAAACTATTCTGGATGAAGACAAAGCTGACTTTTCAGCCACATCACCTCCCAGATCCCATTTACCACAAGGCTGCACAGAGGCCAGTGCCAAGACAGCAATGCACTTTTTCAGACCACCTTTGGGAAAAATTCTCCCACAGATAAACTGAATACAGTTGTAACCCCAAGACTTATTTCTTCAGTAGTTTCCTTCACCTATCTTCACTACTTGTAAACAAACCCCAAATGTTCTCTGGCACTCCTCAAACCCCTACACCACAATCTCTCCTTGACAACCAGCCCACACCTAATCCACACAAATACCTGCACTCTAGCTCCAAACGACAAACGACAGCTCCCTGCTGACCTTTTCCGAATTCCTACAACCACTCCAAGTTTTCTGCATCCCCAATGGCAACAGGCCCTTTCTCACAGTGCATACTATTTCCCTCCAAGAAAGATTCCCTCAGCCACAGCCTCCACCTGCTGAATTGCTTCATACAGCCAGGCCCACTAAAGCCTTGCTCAAGTCATGGAGCCAGTGCTCAGGAGGCAGTCACGCCCCAAGTACTGATATATATGTAACACATTAAACCTCTTCGTGCCATTCAGCACAGCCTGTCACTCAACATCAAAAGGGAGTGGGAGGAAGCAATTCCTACCCTCTCCGTCACAAGAAGCTGCATGCTTGGAGTACGTCTCGGAACCACAGCCTTTACCCTGTCTTATTCTCCCTACTTTGTCTAAAGCGATGAGATTATCCAAGAGGAGAAACAGGAGAAAGACAACAGCTAGACAGCACTTTCCTGGAACCCCACGCTTTTTAATCAATCCTTCCCACACTGAGAACAACTATTCTAAGGGACGTTTTTATGTATTTATAATAAACCAAACATTACTCAAGCAGTGACTACTTGCAGTGTCAAGAGCTCCTTTGTTTTGTATGCCCTCGGGTCTTCCTGTAGTAAAATTTAACCGCTACTGTTAAGGTAAAACTTTGATCTCGGAGATAAAACAAGTGACAAGTTGCACTGACTTGGTAAAGGATCACTATGACACAAAAACCAAGACTCTGATTTTCATTTAAAAAATTAAGTGCGAAAAGTAGGGAGTTTACAAAGTGAACTAGAAATAAAGGACAAAATCCAGCAAGGGTTATATACTCCAGTACGATCAACAACGGGAATAAAATAGCCCCTTCCAGCAGGGCGCATCAAACCCACTCCAGCCCCTCACCGGCTTCTGCGATCATTTCTAAACAGTTAACGCGCAGGGAAGGAAGCGGGAGCAGCGTTTCAGGCACAAGCACTTGAACCGCAGTCATGCCCGAAGGGAAGTTCCTCTAAGGAGCGTAAAGGCTGATCCAATACCGAGCAGCATCCTTTCACCCACCCCAGCACCGTTTCCCTCCTTAGAGTCATACCCGCGAGGATAACGGAGAGATATTATATTCCTATAAGCAGTGCTGCACGGCGATCCCCTCGGGCTCATCTCCCACAGGGAGGGCGGAAAGACTGCAAACGCAGGTGGGCCGGGGTGGAGGCCCAACGGGGCAGGCCGCCCATTCCGCGCCCCCCCCCGCCCCGGCGGCGGGCTCCCAGAAGCCGGGAACCAGCTCAAGGCA